CGCCCCCCCCCCCCCCCCCCCCCCCCCCCCCCCCCCCCCCCCCCCACCACCTCCTGCCATCGCCTACCAACACTTTCTTTCCTGTTTTTGACAGCCCGCTCCGAATAGCCAAGCAGGTGTCTTCTTATTTTCTGCCGAAACGGTGTGGGACCAGGCACACAGATACACTCCATAAACAGATAAACAGAGCAGCGAAAAAGGCGGAACCCGCATGCAGACTCTTGAGCGGAACCGGTGGAAAAAAGTAACTTGGACTTGGACACGCACAACTTTTCACGCACGTCACGTCGCTCAAGTTACAAGAGCACATCACAAAAACACAAGTGCTATTTTCAACGTCATGCGGATGCAAAACAGCCGAGAGGGGCCGGTCGAAATGCTGAGAATCAGCCACGGAGAAACCGCCCCACTGAAGATCTTCACAATGGGGCCGGTGTTGCGCGAGCTTTTCTTCTTCCGATCGGATGGTTGCGAATGAGCAGGGAGGGCATTGTGCGGCGCTTCTCTTTTCTCCGTGCCAAGTGGCCGGCTCGTGGAAGCTCGCGGGGCTGAGGCCGGAGCGTGCGGTGTTGTCACTGGAAATCATGTGGCCTCCGAGCACGTTCGCCGTGTATCAAGCCATTGAGAGGAGCCCCCGCGGGCCTCGTCCCATTGAAAAGGGGCCTCTGAATCGCTTCTTTGAGTGCTCCCCTTTTGATGTTGGATGGGCGTTGAAAAGGCCGGCCGGGGGTGCCCCTGGTGTCACTGGTGTGATTAAAATGGGACCGCTGACTCAGTGTCTAGCGGGGGACGACAAAAACCGACAGTGTGTGTGCCCTTGTACCCGATGGGAGCGAGACGGTGCGGGCGCTCGTCAGGAATTCCAACGCTGTCAACCGATATTAGCATACAATACAACGCGTCCATTCTCTACGGCGCTGATCCTGAACAGGGTCGCAGGGGGGCGCTGCTGGAGCCTATCCCGGCTGACTTTGGGCGGAGGGCAGACTACACCCTGAACTGGTCGCCCGTCAGTTGCGGGGCACATACGGAGACGCGCGACCACTAAGACCCGCATCCGCACAGTCACCGAGCGGGAAACCAACCCCACCCTGTCTGCACACGGGTCAGGCGAACGGACCACTGCACCATCGGCGAGTCAATACAATACATCTTGATTGATATTGCAAGATGGAAAAGTTGAATAAGAACCAAATGGGACAGGTCAATCAGAGACACCAATGAGTCTCAAAAACATACTTAAAAAATTTTTTTTTTTTTTTTTTTACTTTTATGTCTTTGGAATGCATCCCAGAAAGGTACCTTGGAGTCCAGTCATTCCATTTTTGGGGCCAGGATGGGAGGGATGTTTAGTCGATCATATGTCGAGGGACACCCAAGTTCCGTTTTTACCGGCCAGAAACTTCAGTGAGCTGAACTACGTCAGGTGCAAGAAGAAACAGACGAAATCTGAACCAACGTTGCGGCAAAACCTCCCAAATTGTGCTCCGCAGACGTAAAGCTATTAGCGATTAGCGATCAGCTATTTCCATCTTTTCCATGATGCAAGTGTGAAATCACAGATCGCAACTTTCAGTTCAAAGTGGGAGCTTTCACACCTTTCTAGCCAGAGCCACCTTCGAGATCCAGAGTACATCCGAGAAATGTGGTGATTATTAATCACCGAGCACCGCGTTCATGTCATCAAGGAGAACAGAGCCTCCCCATTCAGTCACCGCGATCCGTTTTGCCCCCAATTGGCCGGAATGCCGATGTCAAAGCCGAATGGGAGGCCGAGCTGCAACAGAGTCTTGGTGAATGCACACATCAGCATGAGGTGCTTCCATTTTGCTTCCCTTTTATGACCTGATTGATCTGTGCAACACAAAGTTCCTAAACCAGTTCTCCAGCCAATTGTCCCCCCCCACACACACACACACACACACACACACACACCCCAAACTGCTCTTGCGTGGTCCAGAAGGAGCCGGGCAGAGACACGGCTTTGAAAGTATCAAAATAGCCAAATCGCCAGAGGGAGTTGGAATACAAGCGGACATTGCTTCTCTGCGGCTGTTGAGTCACGCCGTGTTGTGATGTTTCCTCGCTGCCGTTCGGAAAAAAAAAAAAAAAAAAAAAAAAAAGAGGACGATGCCGTGACATATTACCTCCCGGGCAGCGCAACAAAGACTCGCTTAAGAGTGGCCTGGCCGTCTGCCCGTCGATCCCGCCTCCCGCATGCCGTCGGGCAACTTTTCACACTTTGTTGACAGACAGCTTTGCTCGTCTCTCAAGGCGACTCCGGATTTGTGCAGAGACGGTGACTGACATCGACACAGTCAATGAGAAAGCCGTACATGGAGCAGGTCAAAGTCTATCTTGGTCTTGGCAAACAGGTGACCGGGAATCTTTTTGCATTTGGGGATATAACCCGCATGCTTTGGAAAAAAAAAAAAAAGATATCAGTCGGATCGTGGACACGCCCACGAATGGACTACGTCAGGGGTGTCCAAACTTTTTCGTTCGAGGGCCGCATACAGAAAAATGCAAGGATGAAAGGGCCGCTTTAAAATTAATTCACTTTTTTGACACACGCTAAAGTCAGTCAAGAAAGTCATTGTTTATTGTTTGTGGGGTCGAGTTCATTTCATCAGTTCAAGGCGTTGAGGCGAATAGTTGAGGCTTTGTCCCAGATTTCGAGGTGGCCAACAGCCCTCTCTCTCACAGTGTGGTTCCAGCTCTGCACTTGACAGCAGCAGAACCAAAAAAAAAACCCACAAAAAAATTGTTGTAAGAGGACCATTATTCAAACAGTTACTTGAGGATCATTCATGTGATGTCTTCATCAATCAGCCCATCGAGCAGAAAGTGCCAGAAAACATTTTTGCCTCTAAAATGGAATGATCTTGATTTAATGCAATGTTTTGAAGGTAAATTATTCTTCGAATAACACATTGTTTATTTGCATCTTTCACTATAGAGAAAACTTCTGCAGTATATAAACAAATTTGTGAGTAGTAATGGCACCTGTTGTTTTGACACCCTCCCTTCTCACTTGGCCCAACTTCACCTTTTTTGCACTAATCCTGTGGCCCATGTTAAATGTCATGGTAGTGTTTATTTTTTTTGGTGTGTGTGTGTGTGGGGGGGGGGGGGCGGGGGGGGGTCATGTTCCCAGCCGCTAAAACTGGCCCGCGGACCGAAGACTGGAAACCACCATTTCTGATGGCAAAGACACCAGGCGTCAAGTCAAAGCCGAGGGAAAAAGAGGACAGACTCTTTCTGGAAGAGAACACAAACGGTTGATGATGCGCTTTGCAAAGAAGACAAACTGCCCGAAAGGGTTGGTCAAACTATCCCTGAGTTTAAATATCCTCCCAAACTTCGACACAGAGGACTTCAAAAAAAAAAGAAAAAAAAATCGATTTTAAAATAATAATTGCATTACGCTCCTTGAACTGAAATGACAGCCATGTTGAAACAAACAAGCAAACAAACAAACAAACAAACAACAACCAAAAAAAAAAACCAACGACTCCGATGCTTCATTTGCACTTTGTTGAATGTCGGGCTTTCTGTGACGGTGTTTGAGTACAACTCATCCAGCTTTCAAAACATCAGCGGCGAGATGTCGGTCAGTCATTTTCGACCAGTCATCCACTCGAGGGCAAGCCCGAGAACGATTTTCCGCAACGATTGGGAATCGTGATGATGGCGGTCTGGCTTGTAAACACAGTCTCTCGATCTGCTTATTCAAAAGGCCACGGGACAGTTTTCCGGTTTGATCCAGCCTCCGCTGATTGCATCGCTTGGTGAGGCTGTCTCAAAGTCAACATGAGTCGAATCTCTTTTTTTTTTTTCCTTCTTTTTTTTAAGGATTGATTAGACTGATTGATTTCCTGGGAGGAGACTCTTGGCAAAGCTGCGGCGCTTCTTTTTTTTTACATTTTTTTTTTTCTTCTCTGTGCATCACTTTTGCTCATGGATGAATCAAATGCGATGGCATCGATCACCGCCCAACGGACGCTTCATTAGGGCCAGGAAAAAGGAAAACAGGAAATGCCGCGTGGCAAAGGCGCTGCAAGATAGTCAGTGTCACACACTATGTTTACCATTCAAGCAACATTTTTTTTTCACCCCAAGACCATTTTCAAGACATGGCCAGGCTACATGTCAAGTGCTGCCTCATCAAGGCAAAGTACATTGCAGTCGAAAAAACGCAACAAGGCTTAAAGTAAGCAGTGGCCTGTACAGATGTCTGTTATCAAACGTTGGCCGCAACAGAAAAATTGCCTAAAATACAAAGGTCGGTTCTGTCCGCATGGATGCAAGTATGTCCCCTTTAAGAGAGCCGTGCTGAATATTTTGCATCTTTCATGAAGCTGAGAAACATAAAACATAACATAAATAGTACGCCCACCCCTAAAAAATCAACAACAACAACAATGGAGTGGATAGCTGCAGATATCGGAGCTGCAAAAATAACACGCAGGCGTCTCAATCCCTGATGATGCCGTTCAAGGCCCTCGTGTCTGTTTGCAATCCGACGATAGAGGGCGCTAGTAAGCAAGGAACAAGCACTGCCGGAATGCAGACGCAATGGCTTTTTCTCTGCACCTCCTCGCCTCGCTCGCAGCTTCTCATCAGTCTCGCGCACAACGTAAATTTGAACTCAGGCGCTACAGTGGCTGGCGCAAGTCAACCAAGACCAAGTGTTTCCTTTTTTTTGGTTTGTTTGGGGTTTTTTTTTGTGGGAGGGGGGGGGGGGCGGGGAACGCATGCAGCCTGCCCCGGTACTTTACTGCGTCCTAATTACGAACGAATACAATATGTGACACTGTCCAGTCAAGACAGCATCACACTCTCCGGGTCGGGACGCCTGGCTCAAGCGCGTGCTTGTTTACGCACGCTATTGGGGAGGTGGGGGTGAGTGAAGTAGAGAGAGCGAGAGAGAGAGAGAGAGAGAGAGAGAGAGAGAGAGAGAGAGAGAGAGAGAGAGAGAGGGGAGGGAGTTGGGGGGGGGGGATATCATTTGCGCGTCCCTCTCCGGTTGCTGCAGAGAGAGGCTGCCGACACACGTCTGCAGGCAAGTGGTCAGGTCGCTGCATTCGCTAAGGAATCGAATCACCCCCACCCCACACCCCGCAAAAAAAAAAAAGTCACAAGGGATTTACATCTATTTTGCTGCTTTTCCTACCACTCCTGTCATTCTTTTTTTTGGAGTGGATCTGCGTCGCACCGGGAAGCAACTAAGTGACTTGCAGGATGAGAACAGCCTGAGCAAGGTGGCTTGTTTTTTTTTTTTTGTTTTTTTTTTGTGTGTGTGTATTTTTTCCCCTCCCGCCACACTTTTCAGTGACTCGAGTGGACATTTCGCAGCGCAGAGGAATACCGCCCACAAAAGAGAAGAGATCCCGCGCAGAAAAACGTGAGTGACAATGAGAACAGCACGCGCTTCGTGTTGCCCCGACTGGCGCCTTTTACGCGCGTGAAAATTCACTGGTGCACCGAGCCTTTTTTTTTTTTTTTTTTTTTTTTAAGCACCGCTGAGGCGTCATTGAAATTCATAGAGAAGGAGAGAGGGGAAAAAACTTGCTGCCTTCCACTGCAGTAGGGGTGATGTAGAAGAAGTATCGTTCTATTCTCACATCCAGACGATCACAGTGTTTTGTTTTTTTTTTTTTTTGTGGTGGACACTTTGACAAGGGAGCAATGAGGACTACTGGTGCAGTGGACTATTTATACTACTGCATGCTTATCCTGCAGTTTGTGCATCAGCCTGCCGCCAAGCAGGTGCTCCGGTACCGCCTCGCCGAGGAGGGACCGCCGGACGTGCGGGTGGGCAACGTGGCCGCCGACCTGGGCATCGTGGCGGGCTCCGGCGAGGTGACGTTCACGCTCGAGTCCGGCTCGGATTTTTTCAAGATCGACAACATCACGGGCGAGCTCACCACCAACGAGAGACGGATCGACCGCGAGAAATTACAACAGTGCCAGATGATATTCGACGAGAACGAGTGCTTCATCGATTTCGAGGTGTCCGTCATCGGACCGGCCCAGAGTTGGGTTGACCTCTTTGAGGGAAAGGTCATCATCTCCGATATCAACGACAACACTCCATCTTTCCCCTCGCCTGTGCTGACGCTGTCCGTGGAGGAAAACAGACCCATCGGAACCCTCTATCTGCTGCCCACCGCCACGGACCGAGATTTCGGCCGCAACGGGATCGAGAGGTACGAGCTCATCCAGGACGGCGGCGAGAACTCCCGGCGCTCGGGAGACGCGTACTCGGGCAAGAGGAGATTTGAGGAGGGCGCGAGCAGGAGCAGCGTTTTCGAGCTGCAAGTGGCCGACACCACCGACGGCGAGAAGCAGCCCCAGCTTATCATTAAAGGGGCGCTCGATAGGGAGCAGAGAGACTCCTATGAGCTCACGCTGCGCGTGAGGGACGGCGGCGATCCCCCGCGTTCCTCCCAGGCCATCCTGAGGGTGATGATCACCGACGTGAACGACAACAGCCCTCGCTTCGAGAAGAGCGTGTACGAGGCCGACTTGCTGGAGAACAGCTCCCCCGGCGCCCCCATCCTGCAGCTCAAAGCGGCCGACGCGGACGTGGGGGTCAACGGTCAGATCGAGTACGTGTTCGGGGCGGCCACGGAGTCCGTGCGGAGGCTGCTGCGGCTGGACGAGAGCACGGGGTGGCTGAGCGTGCTGCACCGCATCGACCGCGAAGAAGTCAGCCAGCTGAGGTTCACGGTGATGGCCCGCGATCGAGGTCAGCCGCCCAAAGTGGACAAGGCCACCGTGGTGTTGAACATCAAGGACGAGAACGACAACGTCCCCGCCATCGAGATACGGAAAATCGGACGCATTTTCCTGAAGGACGGCGTCGCCAACGTGGCCGAGGACGTGGTGGTGGACACGCCCATCGCCCTGGTGCAGGTGTCAGATCGCGACCAGGGCGAGAACGGCATGGTGACCTGCACGGTGGTGGGCGACGTGCCCTTCCAGCTCAAGCCGGCCAGCGAGATGGAGGGCGAGCAGAACAAAAAGAAATACTTCCTCCACACGTCGGCGCCGCTGGACTACGAAGCCACGCAGGAGTACAACGTGGTCATCGTGGCGGTGGACTCCGGCAGCCCCAGCCTGGCGAGTAACAACTCGCTTCTCGTCAAAGTGGGCGACACCAACGACAACGCGCCCGTCTTTAACCTCAACGTCGCGGAGGTGTCGTTCTCGGAAAACAACGCCCCCGGCGAGAGGGTGATGACGGTGGCCGCCAGCGACGCGGACAGCGGGAAGAACGCCGAAATCAGCTACTCCCTCGACCCGTCCGTCAACGGGATCTTCTCCGTCGACGCGGACAGCGGCGACGTCCGAGTCAACGCCATCCTGGACCGGGAGCAAACGGAGCGCTACGAATTTAAAGTGCTGGCCAAAGACAAAGGCGTCAACACCTTGCAGGGCTCCGCCACAGTCGTCGTCCTGGTGGCGGACAAAAACGACAACGAGCCAAAGTTCATGCAAGACGTCTTCACCTTCTACGTCAAAGAGAACCTGGAGCCCAACAGCCCCGTTGGCATGGTGACGGTCATCGATGCCGACAAAGGGCAAAACGCCGAAATGAGTCTCTTTATCGAGGAGGAGGAAGAGATCTTTTCAATCGAGAACGACACGGGCACCATTTTCTCCACGCTGTCGTTTGACAGAGAGCAGAAAACCACGTACACCTTCCGCGTGAAGGCGGTGGACGGGGGCGACCCGCCTCGGTCGGCCACCGCCACCGTCTCGCTGTTCGTCATGGACGACAACGACAACGCGCCCGGCGTCACCTTCCCCATCAACAGCTCCTACACCCTCCTGCCCCCCTCCAGCAACATCCGAACCGTGGTGAGGACCGTCATCGCCACCGACACCGACACGGGCGTCAACGCCGACCTCAACTACAGTCTGGTCGGCGGGAACCCCTTCAGGCTTTTCGAGATCGACGGGGCCACCGGTGTGATTTCGCTGGTGGCGAAGCTGGAGCAGAAGCACTACGGACTGCACCGGCTGGTGGTGCGGGTCAACGACAGCGGGCAGCCCTCCCAGAGCACCACCACGCTGGTCCACGTCTACGTCAACGAGACCATCTCCAATTCCAGCGTGGTGGAGGCGCAGGTGGCCAAGAGCCTGAGCACGTCCCTCAACACCAACATCGCCGGCGACCCCGACTACGACTTGAGCAAGCAGCGGCTGAGCATCGTCATCGGCGTGGTCTCGGGAATCATGACGGTCATCCTCATCATCCTGGTGGTGGTCATGGCCCGCTACTGCCGCCCCAAGAACAAGAACGGCTACGAGGCCGGCAAGAAGGACCACGAAGACTTCTTCACGCCGCAGCAACACGACAAGTCCAAGAAGCCCAAGAAAGACAAGCGCAAGCAGAAGTCCAAGCAGCCCCTCTACAGCAGCATCGTCACCGTGGAGGCCTCCAAACCCAACGGCCAGCGCTACGACGGCGTCAACGAGAAGCTGTCCGACAGCCCCGGCATGGGCCGCTACCGATCGGTCAACGGAGGCCCCGGCAGCCCGGATCTGGCCCGCCACTACAAGTCCAGCTCGCCGCTGCCCACCGTCCAGCTCCACCCGCAGTCGCCCACGGCCGGCAAAAAGCACCAGGCGGTCCAGGACCTGCCCCCGGCCAACACCTTCGTCGGCACCGGGGATAACATTTCGCTGGGATCGGACCACTGCTCCGACTACAGCGGTCAGACCATCAACAAGTACAACAAGCAGGTAAGAGGACGCGTCTCCGTTTCGCTCGGCTTTTCCCTCCGCCGCTCGGAAATGCGCTCTGTTTCCGAGTCTCGGCGTTTTGTCTGGCGTAATGCGTTCTGACAGGGCTGGTCTCAGTAGTCGTGTTGCCTTTATGCTGCTAATGTGTGTCAAGTTAGCGGTATTGATCTGTTTTGGTTTGGAGTGCCATTCACATGCAATATTGAAAGGGACCGTAATGGTTTCGATGAGCTCATCGGAGGGGTGGCGCGAACGGTCGGGCCGAGGCCCTATACTCGTTTTTTTTTTTTTTTTAACCTTTTTTTTTTTTTCATTTGCTGCTAATGTGTCTTGAGGGCTGCAGACAGCTCGCATAAGGGTTTGGTTTGCGGTTAATTTATC